AATATATATGTATATAAATAAATATAGAAACATATAGAAAAAATTATACAGAAAAAGTTATATAGAAAAAATTATACAGAAAATTTATATAGAAAAAATTATACAGAAAAGTTATATAGAAAAAATAATTCAAAAGAAAAACTATTAAACATTATATATTAAAAACAATAATTACAAAACTAAACAAAAGCACAATATAAAATATAAAAAAAAAATTTAATTTTGCAATAAAAAATTGCAAAAAGAATAATAAAAAAAAATTAATTAAGATTCTAACAAAAGAAAATTGTTGAAGTTAAGCTGATTTAAGCTAATTACACAAAAGTACTTATAACATAAAAAACTATTAAATAAAACTATTAAATATGATTTTTTTATTACAAACAAAAAGACTGATGTCAATGTAGTCAATTTGAAAGGAATAAAAAAAAAATAAATAAATAAAAAGAACGAACGCTGGCAGCTTTTTTTACGCACTTCGTGAATTTCTAATAAAAAAAAATATGGACGGGCGTAAAGGTACAATAACCGAAAATATGCTTATAATTGCTAAAATTAATGACCGAAAAAATAAAAACCATTAACATTTATATGTATAAATTATTCTTAAAAAATTACTTAACTAAAAAAAAAAAAAAATTAGTAAGTAAATACATTATTCATTAGTTTAAAATCCCTTAAACTACGTCGTGTACGCGGCGACGACACGGGACTTCATTCATATAATGAGAGAAAGTAGTAAAAATTCTGTTTAATTGATTGATTTAAATTATTTAATTTGAAATATGTTTGCAATTTAATCACAACAACAATTGCAAAACCTTTCCCCATTCCATTCACCTTTGCTGCTTTGCTGCTTTGTTGCTTTGCTGCTTTGCTGCTTTACTGCTTTGACTTTATGCGTTGTTAAGTACGTTCGTCTTAAGCTCGAAAGGTGTAAAATTCGCAATTCGGAATTCGAAATTCACATATTCGTAGAAAGTAAGTTTTAGAAGAGGAAGTATGTAGGGGACACAAGAATAAGCTCTGACTGTGACTGTGATGTGGCTGTGGCTGTGGCTGTGGTACGATAAAGCAAACTTTTGACACGATGAGGTAAGATTTCGTGGGTAAGCGTTTAGATCGGTTTTGGAGGGGCGGCAGCACATTGCAAAACTTATTGAAAGTTTATTGAACTTTCGTATTATTTTTTGCTTTCTATATTATGGTTTTTATAATAATAAAATCCATACAAATAAAATTACACATATTCACACACGTTAAAAAAACTAAATAAATAAATCTTTGTAGCGATTTGCAAATGTAATTGTGTGAGTTTTTTTAACTGAAGTAGTGTAAACTTTAAAGAAATGCAAAAAAAAATGAAAACATAAAATTAAAAAAAACAAAGCAATTATATAAAAAAGTAGTTTTGAAAGGTTGATATTAATTACATATATCTTAAATTAAGATATTCGAAATTCGAATATCTTCGAATTCAGTATATTCGATATACTGAAAATCAAGCATTTGATCATAATTCTTTTCTTTTATGATATATTCTGTTATTTAGGCCGTGTGCGAGTTGGAGTAAAATGAGGTAAAGTAAATTGAAATTTCCTAGACATTTTTGCACTGCACTTATTTACACTAATTAATTCCACTTCTTTCTTATTTTGCTGTTAAAAGTTTTCAAATTTATTTATTTATTTTTTAAACATCTTATAAAATTTTTACAAAATTTGTCTAATTTACCCTACTCGAAATACTGGTAAATACCAACATTCGCTGCCATCCCGACATAATTTACTATTTCCCTCAATTTACCATCAATGTACTCAAACTCGCACACGATCACCTTAACAATATCTTTTGCTTCAACCAATAGTTTACTGATACCGAGAGAATTTGCCTAATTACAATAAATAATATGAACTCTCCCATTAAATGTCATATTCAGCTTATTACCGTTATGTTTTAGCTTACATTTGGAAATAATAATTTAAGAAAACGGGGATCGATTAATTTATTGGGACTTAAAAATAACAGTAAAGAATTTATCGTTCCAAGGATTTTCGATATAAACATTATTACATACATGAACAGTCAAAATTAAATAAATCGAAGTTATATTTTGCAAAGAAAAGGTTCGACTTATGGAGACTTGGAGTTAAAGAATTTTTTTGTAATTGTATGTAATTTGCTTTCTAAACCCTGTTGCACCCCATTTAGTACGAGTTATAAAAAATTTGATTTCGAGTTAGGGAAGTTTGACTGTAATTTTTATATGAAATATAAACAAATCAATAAATCAATTAAAAGCGCAATTCTTAAAACAATCTTGATTGTGTTTAGATCTGGCAAGAGCTCCACTTTTTAGAACATATATACAGAGTTCCAGTTCAGGTGATCTTAGATACATTTTGCAATAAATTTGATTATGCCAGATTATTTCTTGTGTAAGTCCAAGAAACTCCATAAAATTGTTTTTTGTTTATTCTCCAAACTAAAATTAAAATTTAAAGCAAATTATTTTTAAACAAAATTTACAGAGATTACTTTGAATGCATAAAACAGATATACCAAATTAATTAATCATTTCAGATTAAATTACGAGTACATTATTCCGGATTCTTCATGTGCAGAAAGCAGAGGAATGCATACTTAACATTAAAATATATTGACTCTTTTTTGTTATATTTTTATTTATTTACTAAAGAAGTAAATTCTATGGAGCATATAATACTACAAAATAATACTATTCAAGTTTAAATAACAAATAAATTGATGTTTCTCAGTCTAAATAGATCTCAACTCACAATAATTACTAGTTTTTGAAGTAAACATGCGCTACTGTTAACTAAAAGTTCATCTGCTCTGCAGTTGTCTAGTCGTTGTAACCATAACCATAAATATTGTATAGTAATCCCTACCTATAACGTGGTATATTGGTTCCGCGTAATAGTAAAATGCCCGTATACACACGTGCAAAGGTACCCGAAGTTAATTATAAACTGTACTGCCTGTGTTATACGGGGGATTGAAATCGCGTAATATAAAAACGTATTATTAGGGTACCGCGTTATAGGGGGGATTACTGTATTCGCTTAGCTCTTTTGAAGCGATAGCGTCGCCACGTTTTTAAAGGCAGCAGATATAACTATTTAATTTATCAATAGCGTTTATTTGCCTGAGTTAGCTTAAGATACCTTCTTCAGATGCAACAGAAGATCTTATAGTTCTTGATGATGTATCAATATCTCTTCTAAGAAAAAGAATATTCAATCAAAGTTTAAATAAAAAAAAATAAAATCCAGAAGTGGTTCTGGCTACATATTTTTTTTGCATAGAAAAAGCAAGAAGGAAAATTATCTCATATTAGTGCAGCTAATAGGATTCATGACCTGGACTTTAAATGTTAATAATTTTAGGAAATAATAATACTAATAATAAAAAATTAAAAATAAATTAATTAAAATTCACTATTTTTGATATTTACTTTTCTATATTAGTTTTCACATGTCTTCGTTTTATTTTTCTCTCTTTTATTTGACCAAAATAAAATGTTCAAGAATCGCGAGATTCAAGATTTAAGTTAAATTTAATGATATGCAGCCGTAACGTCACAACCTTAACATGTGTAAAATAGAATGAAAGTAAAGAAGTGTAAATATTCAAACGCCAAAGAGTAAATAGGGGGGAAAAAGTACCGTTTAAAAGGACAATAAACGACCTTCAGAAGAAAAATAAAAAAAATAAAATAAAATAAAATAAAATTCGTTGTCGTAAGGGAAAATAAGACATAAAAAATTAATGCACCAAATATACGTAAATATAAAAATGAACATAAAAAGTGAAAATCGTATGTGAAGTTGGGGGAGAGGAAAATTCAAAATTATTATATGTGTGCTAAAAGAAACAGCGTCTAGGATGATGATGAAAGCAGAAGCAGTAACAGTGGCAGTAGCAGCAGTAATAGCAGCAGCTGTAGCTGTAGCCGTAACAGCAGTAGTCACATGTAGAAATAGCGATGACGGCAACGGCAACGGCTACGGCGACGGCACAGCAATAGCTACAGCGACGGTGTCGACGATGAAGTCAATGACTTACGATATATGCTAAGGCGGCAAAAGGTAATAAAAAGAGATACGCGACTTTGAAATATAAAAATAAGGAAAACGCAAAAATATAAAAAATAAATAAATAAAGAGATAGAAATCGTGTCAATGGCAAAAATTCAACTAAATAGACTATAAAAAACAAAAAAAAAAAACTAAAATGAAAACGTAGATAAAAACAGAAGCAATAAAGAAAATGAGTATAAGACAAAAACAGCGATAAATGACAGGAGCAAAACAAAAACAACACATACAAAAAACATAAAAAAAGTAAAAGTTAAGGTTTTCCAGTGAACAAGAACAAAAATAATAAAAATAAAAAACAATATAAAGACGACGTGAAGGAGACGACGATGCCTAATAAAATACAGAAAACATACAGAAAAGCGCACACCACAAGCAACAACTGCCAGCCACACTGTCGTTAATAATAAATATTTGTGTTCTTTGATAAATCTTCATGTAATCTGTACTTACTTGCACATTATAAGCACGTGAAAAACTGACTAAATATTTTAGATAGAGTAACTACCTGAAACAATTCTTTATTTTATATACACATATATGGAAATTTAAATCAATGTAGCTAATCAATTTAAATAAAAAGAAAACCTTACGGACGATTTCGTAACCTATTTACATCCATATACAATCCGATAAAAAAAACGACTTTCATCGTATGGTCCTAAATTTTGCAGTACAAATTACAAAGTCTTAGCAAGTAATACTATCTGCGAGCAACTACAGGACAGACAAAATTATCAAGGCAAGCAATGTCTGATCCATGACATTCTTTTCTCAGATATAGGTATCTGCACTTGCATCCGTCAAGCTGGTAATAAAACACAAAAATCTAAATAAAATATCTGAATATAGCCAATTGGAGAAGATGAACCCTCTTCCTGTCACATCTCAAAATTGACCTGGCCCAAAAACGACAATGTACAAGTCAGTTTCAGCTAAGATGTAACCCACTCAACACTGCCGTAGCGATGCTGACGCGTCACAGGCATGCTATGAGACTTTTGTCGGGGTTGTATCAGAAAAATGAGATGGATATTTCTTAATACCATCATTTACTAGAAGTAGATTCAAACTCATTAAGGCCTCTTTTTTTGTCGACCTGTCAGAGTTGTTGTCCCGAAAAATTAAGGAATTAGCCCAGTTAGGTTATTGCATTTTTACTTAAAAGAGGTAGTGGCGATATTCGTTTGCTGACCTCTAATTAGCGTATGAACAAAGCTAATCCGTGATATATCGGGCCATTAAATGAGCTTAAGTGGGCTTCGAGCACAAGCCACTTCAACCTAACCTATCCTAATACTATTAACAAGTCACACAACAGAAAAATTATCGAAATGACTAAAAAATAATAATTGATGCATTATCAAGCAGAACATACTGACTTTAAAGTACACTCGTTCACTAATAGACTTGACTAAAAACCTCAATTAAGGGAAGTTTTTGTTGAGACTAATGCTGTGTGTATACATAATGATGAAATTTTTCTGCCATTCAAAAAAACTCGTTTACAGAATAAACACTAGGTCTCAGTACAACTACAACTCTATTAACCACGTTTTTAAGTAGTTTCGTTTTCCATCATGATATTAGTCAGTTCAACCTACCTATCTACTTTTTTGGCGAATTTTACGCTATGTCTAGGTAATGTCAGGACCCACATAAATCGAACATTAACTTACTTAATCTACATACTAACACAAATTAATTCCCAAATATATTTTTTGGTATCTGTTATTAATATACAAACTAATCTGTTAGTATTTGAAATAATCGAATAAAATTTTACAAAACCACATTTTGTGTATACAAGCAAGAGAGGCGACAAATGAAAAGAAAAAATTGGTTAATTATTACTAGAAGTACCCTATAGATATAGATGACTATAGACTATATTTTAAATATTGTTGAAAAAAAAATATAATTATAAATAATTTAGAAAAGTTTTATATTATTTAAACAATTAACCAATTAAAAATAATAACTGTAATTTGTAAATAATTCATTTATACAATTAAGGCTAACATTTTTCTTGTTCACTCTAACATTAATAATATGAGAGATTAACCACTTTAAGTTTAAATCTGAAAAGTTTTAAGTATTAGCAATTAAAAAATTGTATATCATATTAGGAAAAAAAATACATTTTTATAAAATACATTAAAAAGTACATTCACATAAGAGTTATAAGAAACTTCAATTAGGGCTATCATCACAATATGCTGACAGATAACTTTATTTAGAATACATGAAAGTTTTTTTCCTAATTAAACAACTTAATTAATTTGATTCTATTCTGCATATAATATGAGAAAAAAAATTTTAAGATGTTATTAAGAATGATACTCTATTATTGCATGTACAACAAAAAGTCGTATAAAATTAACATAAGTTGTAAGCAAATCCTCCTCTCTCCTCCTTTCAACAAAATGAGATACTTTTTCGTTGTTAATATTTTTGAAGGGTGTCGAATACGAAAATAGTAACTTTACATAATACATTTAGACATTTTTGGACATATGATTCGAGTGATAACTGTTTAGATGTGTACTCCTGAATCCGATGTTTCTTCTTTTCAGAAAAAGTTACTTAAATTGAGATCTTTTGCCTTATAAATATTTCATTGACTTAAATAAAGTTCATGCAAAATATATATTCGTTTCTTGACTCAAAACTTTTGTGAAAGTTTGGTATTCAAAATATATATATTTTTTTATATGCGTTTACATTTTATATTACCAAAAAATAATTTGCATTGCTAAAATGTACCAAATTTTTCAAGAAATAAAAAGATTTTTATGCAAATTTATGCATATCTAAGCTTCCAAACAAAGAAATTTCATTTAACTTTTTTAGTACTGGAATTTGATTTTTGAAATTTTTAATGGTGTTTTGACGCACATATGCTGCCTTCTCTAAACAGACGGGAAGAGACGACAGTACACGTCACGCCGTCAGTCTTGCAAACTTCCCTTTATTATACTTCAAATGTGCCATGAAGATGAATAAAAGCTATTATTGTATAGTATGTGTGGTGTGAACACAAGTATATCTCTAGAGATGGATGGTGTTCTTTGGTATGTATGTATGTATGTAGAAAATTGAAAAATAAATATCTCATTTGTTTATTTGCGAATGGATATATTTAACTTTGTCACATGCAAAAATTTACAAAAGCTATATAGAGGCATGAAACCTTAAAAATGGTAAATTAACCATTAACAACAACAACAACAGCAATAACAACAAAATATTAACTAAAGCTACACAATCCTAAAGCCCTTCATATGCTACACAAATTTACAATACAGCGTAGATACTTACGAGTATAAGTATGCATAGATAGATATGTATATTCAATTTGTATGGTTTTCCAAGTATATGTGCGCAGCTCGTAGCTCTCAAAGAATACAACGACAATTGGCATTACCGGCACACCAAACCCAAACAAAATCCAGTGCTCGTCGTTGAGTGACTGTGTTTCCTCATTTCAATCAACAAATTTAACCAACCATGCATATTAAAGCCTCACGATTTAGTATGGTCGTTTCGTATATTTTTATTTATAAGTTTTCAATATACAATACTACTAAGTCCCTTCGGTTTCAATACACTCTTTTTCTGTTATTCTGCTTTTATTTCTTTATTTCTGTATTTTTTTACATATAATCCTATTTAATATAAGCAAAGTTTCTCAGCTTTATTTTGCCGTTTAATTTTATTCAGACATTTGGTTGAAGGGTAATTTGTGGCTTTCAAAGATCAGCTTCACTGCGTTGAATGATAAAAACTGAACGTGATTATAGGTTAAGAATGTGAAGGTATGTGTACTTCCAAAGATCGAAAAGGAAATATATAAAAAAAAATTTTTTTAATTAAAAAACGAACTGCATATTAAAAAAAATTTAATAAAACCTACAGTTGTATAGAATTTATAAAATTCGTATTAAAAAAATTGTGTCATTATAACAAAGTTTCCTAACTTTCTCATCATTTTTATTTTTTCTTAAGTTCATGCAAAGCATCTCATTAATCACCTGCTAATAATCACATTCCTGTTATTATTTTCCCAAAGTTATATTTTGTTAAGCTCAAACATTTTTTATTACGTCCTCTCCAAATGAATTAGAATGCACTAAATCTGATGTAAGGAATAATAACCTATTTAAATGAAGAGGCGATATCTACCGCAAATAGATATTTTATCGACCTTAACACAATTTAGAGGAGTAGAAAAAATGAAGAAGTGATGTTTACTTTTATATATATTTATTTAAAATAGTAAAAACGGAATACTTTTCGAACACATCTATTTTAATATATGGTATGTTAAAATAAATTATTTGTAATTACAACTATTGCAGTTTAAATATCTTATTTATCTAAATCTATCATTTTAATTATATAAGTGAAAGTGCGACAAACCTGTACATCAAATTTTCACACGAAGTGATTAAGAGATATACAACCAATATGGAACAACTTTTCTAGTTTATTATTTTTTATAGATTACAAAATATTTTCTAAAAAAAAATAATGAACGTCTTTGTAAATTATAAAAATGGATTTGGAGTTATTCAAAAATCAATTTTTAAATTTAAAAAATGTTACAGAAAAAATTATAATAAATTTTAGACTCATATACCTTCTTCAACACTATCTACGAGTATAAACCGTCAATCAACATACTACCATTAACATTGACCTCCTGAAACTATTTGTCTCTACAGCATGTGGTGCATAGAAATTTACTTCTAAGACTCAATATCTCTTGAAGATCAAATGAAAACTGTTTATCATATACGAACCAACCAACGTACCAAGAAAAACGTGCTAAGTTAAAGCTTCAGTGAAGTAGCAGCAGTCATCAGTCCGCAGACAATCACACATACTTGTTTGAAGAAACTTGGCTCAATTCACTGAGCTCACACGCTCTTTTGTTCG